AAAAAGAGGTTTGTTTTGGAGGGTTTTGTTTGGTTGGGCTTCTTTCAATTCTTGGCATTTGGTCCTTTTAGAAAGATGTGTTTTGTCTTCTGTGTTGGATGCAGTAATAGGGCAAAGGATCAACAGGATATAGGATAAAGATGTATTTTAAAATAAGAATTATCTACACTTATATGATGGTATTTCCCTCTATTATGCAGTCATGTCCCAGGGCCTACTTGCCATTCCCCACTTGGTCCATATACAGGCAGAATTTAACTTTACATGGAAGGCCTGATCCCACACTCCTTATCTTTTTGTGCAAGTCCAAAATACGTTGGGTTGGAACCAAACAAAGTGAGCTGTAACAGCCACAGGTTGTGTTATGACCTACACCTCTGCATATATAACAGTAAGTTAATATAGCCTGTAGTCTAGTTTGTTTCTTTATTGTATTGCAAAAGCACAGTGTGGTTTTTAGTGTGGTTTCTAAAAGGCTTAAGGGTCTTAGACTTGACATTTGTGTTATAGAATCATTTCTTTCAGGGAGCTATTTGCTAACACTTCTACTAATTTTCTTCTAATTATAAAATAGTGGCAGCAGTTGCTGTTTAGAGGAATACTTTGGTTGAAGTCATTTGTGGGATTGACTCAACAACCCAACCTGCAGAGAAACCATCGTAATAACAACAGGCTGTTGCCACTCATTGCTGAAAACTGAGGTGGTCATTTTTCCGGAGGAGAAATAACTGTAGGTCCCAGTGTGAAACTCTTTGCTTTGTTCTTCTTTTACACTGTGTTTTGTGTTCCTTCACAGATTCCAATATACAATAATAGAGAGAATTTGGTTTCCAGTAAAATCAACTCTGATAGTCCACTTCCTGTCTGATAGTCCATTTCCTGTCCAAAAGCATTTTAAGGTGGGAACAGGAGTCTTCTGACACAAAGATGGGGTGGGGAGAAGGAGAGGGAAATTGTGCATCAACTCAGAGATAAAAGGCCTGATTCTCAGCTAGAGCTAAGCAGTGTAGCTCTCTTGAAGTCGAAGAAGCTAAGTCAATTTACACCAGCTGAAAATCTGCCTGACTGTGTTTTTACTTTAAATGTAGGGCTGTGAGTTTTGTTCAACTTGCTAAATAGAATAAAGGACTGGGAGTCCACCCCAGTGATAGTTCTGTTTAAAAAAAATTAATACTTCGTGGCATTCAGTTCTCTGCATCACTGAGAGAGTCACAGATAGAGAAAATAAGTGAAAATTGGTTAACTAGTATGAAAACACTTACTGTTCTTTATTTTTGGAAAGTTTTTCTTCATCCCCTGGTGTCCCAGGTTGCTGAATTGAGGGCCGTATTTGCTAATTTTATCCTCAGACATTTACAACACTGAATTTCTGCTGGACATTTTCAGCATATTCCTTTGATGCACATACTATGGCCAAGACTTTCAAAAGTGTCTGGTGATCTTGGATGCCTAGATTGTGACACTGCCTAGGAGTCTGGATTTTAGAAAGGGCTGATAAGACACCCTTTGAAAATCAGGTCCCTCATTGGTACTTCCAGTGGGGCACCCAAAAAAGTGAGTCATTAAGAATTACTAATCACCCCTGTAAATGAAAGACAATATGTATTGTCTTTAGACAATTACTAATCACCCCTGTAAATGAAAGACAATATGTAGCTGTATTTAGATATGTTATGTCAGCAGGTGGCACTGTTACATAGTCCTGGATGTTCTTTTTCTCAGGGTGCAAGCACTGTTCAGTCTTGGAAAAAATGATTGTATTATTGTTAGTTTTGTTATGTAGTTTTTTCTTGTGGGACTTACGACAAGCAATAAGATGGAGCTGCTTTCTGCCTTAATCTTGCTAGTTAGGGTCAATTCTTGTGGCAGAGTTGCCCCTTGGGAGCCAAGCATTGGTGTTCAGATTGAGATGCCAGAAAGTGGATTGCTTGTGTGCTGTTTGTGACCATGGCTGTTCAAGGACTGATGTATCTAGTGTAAAATAAAAAAAGTTGCACTAAGACTATACCTAGACTCCACATCATTGATTTCTCCTCTACCAGAGAACCAAACTGTAAGGCCCTGATATCTGCTTCTGCTCAACAGAGGACGATAGATATAATTTTGTCTTTCACATCTTGAAGACGTTTGTAAAACTTGCAACAAATTGGCATGAAATCGGGAATGTTTTATTTTTTTTAAATGTGCAAGAGGTGTCCTTCAGTAACCCAGTGCAGTTCAAATGAAATGTTATGGCCAGTAACTGTGTTATTCTGGGGCAAAACATGAACCTTTGTGAAATAAACATTAGAACTTGACTCTTAGCCAAATGGAAGAAAAAAGAGATGTTTTCCTGTGGCTTTATTTGCAACATGAATTGAGATCTAAAAGGCAGGTGTGTGGTGGTTATATTTTTTACTATAACATCTGAGAGACAAAATACTTATCCGTTGAGTATGATCCCCTGAAATAGGATGTTGTCACCCCCTAAGACATGTACAATCAAAATAATGGCACCAAGATCTGGGCAGCTATATACCAGGATAATGCTCCGCACCCACTCCCCAACACACACATGCACATATGCATGTGTCCATATACTGATATACAGCTGCCCCATCTACTAAAAATATATATTAATAATTATATTTGTGTCCTATAAAATAATACAAAGTACAGATTTGTAAAGAAACTTCATTACAAAATATAATACCTAAGAGTTTTGTCTTAATGAATAAAACTGACACAAAATACAGCTTGAGGTTTTTATCCATTTCAAGCAGCCAGATACAACAGTTAATATTTTACATCTGATTAACATAGCACAACGTCTGAGCAGGTAGAGAAGGAAACAAGTGAGAGAAGATGGGAAGAGGGAGATATAAAAGAACTGAATAGGGAAAAAGCAGAAGAGAGGGGTATCCAGTTTTGTCTCATTAGTACCTTGTGCCTTCTCCTCCTCCCCAGTCATATCTATGTCTTGTCTAGACCAGGTCGACACAAGGAAATTAGGTCGGGATAACTACGTTGCTTGGGGTTGTGAAAAATCCACACACACACACCACCCCCGAGTGACACAGTTAAACTGACCTACTCCCTGATGTAAACAGCGCTAAAGTGACAGAAGAATTCTCCGTCGACATAGCTACCACCTCTCGGGGAGATGGAGTGCCTATACCAACAGGAGAAGCCTTCCTGGCAGCATAAGTAGTGTCTTCACTGAAGCACTACACGGGCACAGCTGTAGCATTTTAAGTATCAAGCTGGCCTAATACTTAGACTGTAAGCTCCATGAGGCCGTGGATGTCTGTTCTGTTTTATAGTGCCAAGCACAGTGGGGCTCCAGTCTATGACTGGGGCCTTCTGTGGCTACCACAATACAAATAATAAGTAATAATCACCAACTTTGATTCCAGCAACTTCAGCTTTCTGGTGAGTGGTCATCAGACAAAAGGATAGAGTCCATAAGTGGCTGAGAATACCATATTCTGTATAGTAAATGTCCTGGAAGGCCTAGATTTTTGCCTAACCCTTGGGACCAATGACCAATTCATGGTATGACATCCATGATACTAGGGATTAGAAACTAATGCTATACCACGTTCATTGGAAATCCTGGTTTTCCATTGATGTCTAATGGTATTCTTTAGCTTTGGTGACCCCGGAGATATTAGACTTTAAAAATGGTTTATTTTGATCTTACTGTTGCATGTTCACTAAATCTTGAGCTTTAGAATAACGTCTTGGCCTACATCCTGGGTATGGAGGTAGCAGAGCAGAGATAAATATGGTGGCATGATGGGCATGTAGAGAAATGTAAGAATACATACAGCTCCATACAAATGCACAAACTATATCAATCACCTTATACCTGATGTGTCTGAGTGCATGCATATTAGTTATTTTTTATTGTTCGCCTGTAGCCCCTTGAAAATTTAAGCCAGCACTTCTCTATATTTACGATCATTATCATTCTAAAGATATTTTAAAACACCACAAATCAACAATCTCAGCAGGCTACATTGTTCAAAGTGGCAAAATTCTTTTGGATGCTGTGCATGTGATAGTAGAACACACTGCATGTCATCACATTTGTGCAGTAACAATGGCTTGTTGCAAGGGGAACTGATGATTGATCCTTGAGTGACTTGTAATTTATCAAAGACCAGATATGATTGCTCCTGTATCTGATTAACCTTCCTTGTAAGATGGCCGTCATTTTTGTAATGACAGTAGATTATTCCATACTTGCAAAGATGGATATCAGCTAGTATTAATCAATAGCCCACAAAAGGTGACACCTTGAATTCACTGGATTATCTATAAAGTCTGTCACAAATGGTACAATCATTTGTCAAATATACCAATTTCATATAAGGTACTTCTGAAGTGAAGTACCTTTTATTTTAGTGCAAAATACAAAACGATACATGTATAGCAAAATGTATGCTTTGTTTTCCTAGTGTAATCAGGCACCAATGCTGACTGCTATAAAAGAGCAAGTAAAAATTTCTCTGAGTGACAGATTTGATTGTCATTTCCAGACCCCATTAGATAGGATTCTCTTTGTCACATTTGTATGGAGAGAGCTTGATTTAATAAGATAGCATTGCACAGGATAAAATGGTGGTTAAAATGAAGTATTGTTCCCTGTTCTTACTTAAGAAACACCCTTTGTGCTCTCTCTCTGGACCAGATATATTTTCAATTATTTTGTCTTCATGGTGCTATAATGGTGCATCCCTCCCCGGTATCCTTTGATGCAATTCCATTCTTAATGTGTTTTCAGATTTAAATTAACCTTCATTTACTATTCAGCCACACAAAGAGTGTGTATTTCAGTATGCAGGAATGCTTGTCTGCTGATTGACTGCCTGGTCCTTTTCTGGGAGATGGGAGGTGTTAATTCCTGGGAGGGAGACTCTTACATCATGTTTAGACAGTTTTCAATCTATGGGAAGCTTTTTTTCAATGTCATTTTAAGAAATGCGTTCATAAGTTGTACCAAAACTGCCGTTCAGGTATGAATGGAGCTAAGAAGGAAACTGCCAGTCTTAAAAGTGAACAGATGGATAGCTTAGTAGGAAAAGCAATGGAACAGTATTTTGCTCACATTTTACTTTAAAAGAAAAATTGCCCATGTTAAAATGAAATGGATGCTTCCTAACAGAAAATGGCTCAGGAGACACTGTAACATATATCTAAAAAGTATATAAGCTCTCCCTTTATGAAATGTGGTTCTAATGTAGCAAAGACTAAACATGTTAAGTTGCCAGGGTTGAAATCATACGGACACCCACTCAGGAAAGCATTTAAGCATGTGCTTAATTGCTGAATCGGGGATGAATTGCTGAATCAGGACCTTTGCTCCTTCAGAAAAGACCGCTTTTCTCCCCCTCCAAGCCTCACTCCCAATGATATACAGAGCTATAAATCACTGACATCCCTTATTACCGAAAAGTATGGCAGGAGTATATAGTAACATGGGTTAACTTTTCAAAAGCACCTAAGTCCTATTTTGAAAAGTGACTCAGGCACTTAGGAGATTAAGACCATTGACGTGTCATGAGACATTTTACTCTATATCTGGCAATATCAGACTACTGCAGAAAATAATCAATAACAGTCAAATGCTATACATTTTCTTATATGGATCATGCCTTACAAAACAGTTCCTTTGCTTGAGAGTACACACGTACAATGGTTCATTGTACAAAAAACATGGAAACATATAGTGGTATATGAAAAGAGCAATCCTGAGTCTTATTTATTATATCTGGACCATTCTGTGCTGTTGCCTTCCTGTAAGATTGACAGCATATAAGTGAAAGCAATGCAGGTGGATGCTGTGATATTGTAAAACAGAAGATTTTGTTTAACCGTTCACCTTTGCTCTGACCTTTCCCCGTTCCTTACTCAAATGAATTTTGGCCATGCCCCATAAACTACTCAAACAATCCATTAGGATAGCTGTAGAAATTAGCATAGCAAACTATCACATGTTAGTTTAGCTATTCACCGGTTATTAATCTTCTCAGTTCAGGGTCACATTATCCTGTCTTCAGCATTTTTCACAGTGTCTGATGATGTCTAGAGTGTTAAGAGGTCCCAGAAGTTTGATAGTCACCAAGCTTCAGATGCTTTTGACTTTAAGTCAATTTGCAGTTCTTGTAGAAATGTTGCATTAGCAAATAAAAAAAAAAGTGTGTGTGGGGGGGGGAATGTAGCTTGTCTGAATATTTAGTGTATTCCTGTGGGTGATTTCCAATCTTTGATCACATATCAAAAGCAGAGTGATTTAAATGCTACTGTTGATTTGTATTATCTCTAGTCACTGTCTTGTCCTGCAAGGTCTTTCATAGATTGTCGGGCTAGAAGAGACCATTATGACCATCTAGTTTGACTCATACATAACACAGGCTATAAGATGTCACCCATTAAGAGACCTGCATTATAACCAATAATTCTTGGTTGAGCTAGAACATTCTATTGTAGAAAGTCATCCAGTCTTGATTTAAAGACTCCAAATAATGGAGCACGTATCACATCCCTTGCTAAACTGTTCCAATGGTTAATTATCCTCACTGTTGAGAATTTGCATTTTGTTATGTCTTTGTGGGATGCAGGCATATGCTAGGGGACTGGATGATGATTATAGATTTTTAGGGCCAAATTCAGAGGTAACATAAATGGCATCATAAGTTTACGTGTCACCTCATCATTGTAAGTGGGTGAATTTGGTTCAATCATTGGAATTTACACTTTCATTGTGTTTTCATTGGGTCATTACCCTGGTTCCATTTACCTGGATAGGTAGATTTTCTGCCTGCGTTACATGGATGCCTTATGTTTTTAACACTTCAGTTTAATCTGTTTCTGCTAGCTCACATTGCCACTCTTAAGGCAGTCATTATTTTCTTTAAAAGTTTGACAAATTTTATGACGACACCAAGAGTGTTGTTGAGCATATTTGCATGATAACCCAAGCTTTATTTCTGCCTGCTCAAAAACGACAGTGTGGCATTCGATCTTCACTGTCTGCACAGGCAAAAATGTCACTTATTTATGCATGTTTAAAAAAACAAATCAGTGTGTCTTTTTACTCTCTCTTTGCTGTCACAGTGCTGACTGTTATCGGTCTGCTTCTGGGGGCTTTTCCAACCACTTCATGTGGTCCCCCATCTGCTTAATCTCTCTCCTTGTTTGTCAATATGCCCTTTTTGTCACCAGCATCCTGCTTCTTGACCAAACTACAACTGCAAGTACTTCTGGTTCCATCACATTATCATCTATAGAAACAGATGAAGAGGTTATTTAATTTATATCCTGGCTAATTTATATCAAAACACTGGCAGACACCCAAATAACCCTTTCCCAGAGAATTAAAGTCAGCCCTAACATGGCAAGGGAAAAGGCCACTGAATTATTTACATAATGCAATAATTTAGTCACAAACCAAGAATGGCCATAAACATCACTCATAAAATAGATCACCACTGACTCCAAATATTTTCATTTTCTCTCTTTTCCTGCTTTATTCTACAGCCCAGAACTCAAGTGGAGGTGTACCCAAGCTGTTACATCTTTGTAATCCTGTTGTCCTTTTTTGAAAAATTCTGACTTCTTTTTTGCCTAGAACAAACCTTGAAAATATGTTTTGAAATCACACACACACACCCTCCATGTTAGGTTTCCTGTTAAACTTACATTCAGGCACCAAGTGTGGCTTAGTACCAATATTATGCCATTAAAATATTCCTGGAAAATGGTGAGATCATCTCTTATCTTACTGGTGTTTTGTTACCCTTACAAGACAACCTAGCTTCTTAACCCCTGATGTTGAAGCCAAAAGTCAGCAAGCAAAATTTCAACAACAGTACCAGAATGACCTAAATTTGAAGGTGAGAACATCTGCTCACTCAGGTGAGATACACGTGCTAGGAACGCTTTAAAATTCTGCAGCTTACACAAAGGAAGATAAGACTCAGTCTTACGTGAAACCAACATAATGCTCTACAATGCAGGGCAAAATCTAGGGCATACTGCTTTGTTATGCTGCCCATTATCTCCCTTCATAACGGATTTCCAAAGTCAGACACATCCAAGGCCAAAATGAAATGCCTGGGAGCAGTTTCTGCTATATCCGTGTAATCACTGGTCCTTGCCAATTGAAACTAAGTAATAGAGATCTTTGAACAGCTACTTACGGCAAAAATAAATAAATCAAACAAAAATATTTTCAAAATCATCCCCAAAATTCTGGGGTTATAATTTATCTTTAAAAAATTGAATTTAAATCTAAATGCTTGTAAAGTTGTATGAGTGCCTAAGCAAAAAATGAACTTTGAAAGTTAACTCTGATGTTTGCATCAGAAAATCAGGTAGTTAAATGGATGGGGCTTGTATTTGCACTTGAAAATCATTCCAGGCACTATCATTCAACTACAGGCACAATTGTTTGTATCTACAAATATGAATGCGGAATGGAGGCAATAGAAAAAATATAGCCCTATATCTGCTTTTGCTATGGGTATGCACATCAGGGTCAATTGAGGCCTATGAAATCAGACACAAAAATGACTCAATGTAATTTATTGAACTAGCCTTTCAGTATTGTTAATTAAAGTAAATTTCTCCAGAATCAACCATGAATGCATAATCAAAAGTGCTAACTTAATGCATTTGAGTGGAATTTAGTAAAAACTGTGGTCTATTATTCTTCCACGGGGGAAGGGAGGGAGGGGGAGGTGTTCCTAACATTGTTAAATACCTGAGGCCATAGAATGGCTGGCCTCAAATATATAGCTACTGCATAAATCCCCAGACCCACACAAAGGATGCTAAAACTTTACTGAACCTTTTATCTAACCCTGTTGTGTCTTATCTGATTACTGTACATCAACAGCAAAGGCAACATTCTGTCCATTTTCAATAGTGTTGGACTTGACCTTTTGTGCTTGGCATTGCTTTCCTTTGTCTTACTGCTTGTTTGAAGCATCTGGTAATTGAACATAAACTCCTGCACTTGAGCATTCATGCTTGAACCTGAAATTACCTTGTCATCGACATTGGCTTTCATTAAACATCTAACAGACACCCTGGCATGCTCCAATGACAATACATGGTACAGGAAGTCAGCACCTTGTGTGCTGAAATGGCCTTGGCCTATACAGCACCCTCCTTTCCAACTCAGAATAAAATCCTCTTCATTGCTTTCTCCAGCAGCCACTTTGGCCATTCTGTGCCAGAGCTACTCAGGATCTCTAACTCAGGCATTGCCTCCGAGTCGATTGCTAATATGTGGGTACCAAATGGTACCCAGGAGCTTGAAGAAAACTCCATGAGTTACCTGAGCAAAGACTCACTTTCTTTCTTCCAGGTAAAGAGCCAGACCAGGTTTGTTCTCCCTCCATGAGCTAGCTTCAATTCTTAAGGGGGGAGGGATAGCTCAGTGGTTTGAGCATTAGCCTGCTAAACCCAGGGTTGTGAGTTCAATCCTTGAGGGGGCCACCTAGGGATCTGGGGCAAAATCAGTACTTGGTCCTGCTAGTGAAGGCAGGGAGCTGGACTCGTATGACCTTTCAAGGTCCCTTCCAGTTCTATGAGATAGGTATAGGTATATCTCCATATTCCTTATGTATGTAAAACATGGGAGGTAACTGTCCCACTCTGTGCACTGAGGTCTCAGCTGGAGTACTGTGTCCAGTCCACTCTAAGAAACATGTATAAACTGAAGAGTGTTCAGAGGCAAAATACAAGCTGTCTAACTATAAGGGTAATTAAGCACAGCAATAGGCTTCCAGGGAAAGCTGTGGAATCCCTGACACTGCAGGTTTTAAAGAACAGCTTAGACAAACACCTGTTAGGGATACTTGGTCCTGCCTCAGTGCAGGAGGCTGGACTTGATGACCTGTCAAGATCCTTTCTGGCCCTACATTCTGTGATAATAGTCTAGTCTAGGGGTCGGCAACGTTTGGCACGCTGCTTGCCAGGGTAAGCACCCTGGCGGGCTGGGCCAGTTTATTTACCTGCTGACGCGGCAGATTCGGCCGATCGTGGCCCCCACTCGCCACAGTTCGCCGTCCCGGGCCAATGGGGGTGGCGGGAAGCCGCGGCCAGCACATCCCTCGGCCCGCGCGGCTTCCCGCCACCCCCGTTGGCCCAGGACGGCAAACCGCGGCCAGTGGGGGCCGCGATCGGCCGAACCTGCCGCGTCAGCAGGTAAATAAACTGGCCCGGCCCGCCAGGGTGCTTACCCTGGCGAGCCACGTGCCAAACGTTGCCAACCCCTGGTCTAGTCTCCTGAAGGCTATAATACTTCGAAGTAAGTTTAGGTGGTGGGTTTAGTGTGTGGACGCTGGGTGGTGTTGATGGCATGTGATATGCAGAAGGTCAGGCTAGATGATCTCATAGGTCCTTTCTGGTCTTAAACTCTGACTCTATGAAGCTCTTTGGGGATCTGGGTCTGTGTCTTCAAATATGCTTATACAGTGAGAAGCATAATGCTAATCTTCTGGAGATGTTTAATAATAGTGGAGAGCAGAGAGAGACCAGGTGCCTTATGAACCCTGTCTGTGCCATTCTTTACATCAGTCCAATGGGGCTTTATGATGAGAGCATGAGATCTAGTGCAGCGGTTCTCAAACTGTGGGTCAGGACCCCAAAGTGAGTTGTGATCCTGTTTTAATGGGGTTGCCAGGGCTGAATTAGACTTGCTGGGGCCCGGGGCTGAAGCCAAAGCCCGAGCCCCACCATTTAGGGCTGAAGCCCAAGCCCCACCTCCCAGGGCCAAAGCCCGAGGGCTTCAGTCCTGGGTGGCGGGGCTCAGGTTATAGGCCCCCTTCCTTGGGGTTAAGCTGTTGGGCTTCGGTTTTGCCCCCCGCCCACCCCCGCTAGGGGCAGTGGGGCTTGGCCTTTGCTTTTGCCCCCCGCCCACCCAGTGCAGTGGGGCACGGGTGGGCTCAGGCTTCGGTCCCCGCTCCTGGGGTCGTGTAGTAATTTTTGTTATTCAAAGGGGGTCACAGTACAATGAAGTTTGAGAACCCCTGATCTAGTGATTATAATATAGGGGGGGGGGGCAAGGCACCTGGGTTGTTTTTCTGTTGAGCACTTCCAGTGACTGGTAGAACCTTGAGAGAGTCATTTTGGCAAAAAATGTAAACATAGGGACTTGAAGCTAAGCACTTACATATGTATTTAGGCACCTAAATAAGCTGTCTGGTGCTCAGAGGTGCTAAATCAATGGAAATGGTAGGTGCCCATTGTTATGATTTTTATTTGTAATATAGTAGTGCATAGGGGCTCCAATCAAGATGGGGGACATTTGTACAATGCACCCCACATACAGAGGAGAGAGAGAGAGAGAGAGTCCCTGCTCTGAAGAGTTTATAATCTAAATAGACAAGGGTGGGGAAAGGGAAAGTGCTATTATCCCCATCTTACAGATGTGGAATTGAGGCACAGAGAAACTGATTTGTCCAAGGTGTTGCAGAGAGTTTGTAACAAAGCCAGGAACTGAACCCCCATCTCATGGGTCCCAGTCCAGTGTCTCTATCACAAGGCTTGCCTTTTTCAGCTCAGTACCTTTGAAAATCAGGTCACTTGTTTAGATGACTAATTACGTATTTCGATCCCTAACTTTAGAGACCCACATATGAAAACATTGGCTTTACGTCTCTTTGGGACCAATCATTTGAGATGCTCAGCTCCCACTGAATCACAACTCCTTTTGTTCGTCTCAAGTTGTATGTTGTAAACAGTATTCAGCCTTTTGGGGTTTAAAATACTCTATCCTCCCACCTCATTCAGGACTTAAGAGGTTTCATCCTTTGTTTGCTAAGCACTTTGATGTCCTTGAATGAAAGGCACTGCAGTTATTAACATTATAGCATTCCAATCCCTTCAGAGTCTGAGCACACAACATTGCCAGGTTGGAAGTGAACACACTTGAAATGGGACCCTGTGTGGTGCAATGCAATGGACCAGCAAACCAGCCTAGCTCTAGTTAGAAATCACCAATTCATTTGACGTCTTTTTGGTCACTAGGGATAAACTGTTATCCACTGTGGTGTCGTTCATTACTCTGTTGTTGCTCACTCGTTTCGTTCAGAAGCTGACACTCTCACATCGGGCACCGACTTTAAAAAAATGCATCTGTCTCTGACTGTCTGCCTCTGATTTATTTATGTTGCTTATTTTGTGCCACAGCAGATTGTGTCCCACTGTGTCATGTACTCTAGATCAACATGACACAACACAGCACTGCGTGATCTACAACAAGCAAATATGGCAATGCGGAGCTGTTTATTCTAAACAAACAATCCCTCCTAATGGACACAGAATCAATAAAAAAAAATCAGGGCAAGCTGGTTTCTTTTCAAATTGGATAATTTGTTCCCCTCAGACAGTATCGGTGATACATACAGCTAGGCGGTTTGTAACTATAAAATGTGTTGCAACTTCCCAAAATGAGACATGAAAACCAAACAGTGCAAACAGCCAGAGAAGATTTTCTTCTGGTGAAATACAAGTGACAAAAGCAACAGTTACAGCAGGCCCACTGATGACAAATGCTACCCACGTCTTCTCACTTTGAAGGTTAACAGGACTACTCTTGCTAAAAATATAGTGCAACATAAGCAGACTAAACTAAACTAATCAGAAATACAGCAGATTTTGGTAGCCTGCAATCAACAGTAAAACTAAAAGAAACAATGCAGATCAAAAGATAGGTCAGGAAAGCTTGAATTCTCTCAGAGCGTTCTTTCATATGTATTATGGGGCAAATCCTTAGCTGGTGTCAATTGGCATAGTGGCACTGAAATCAATGGAATAATGCTGATTTACAGTAGCTGAGGATCTGGCCCTGTAAGCATATTCTCTTCTCAAATCACCTAAGCTT